TTTTTTTGAAAGAATAAGATTTCATTTATAAACCAAAAAGACATACAAAAACCGGCACAAGTACAATGGCCAACCTTCCTAGGAAAACTACTTGGGACAAACCCCAGGGTAAGGAAAAAAAAAAGTACCACACATGTCATGGACTAACATGAGAGTCTGACACATGTCACTATGGACCACTATAGAGAACCCGAAATAAACGTACAAAACAAAGCATAACTCCAAGCCCCGCAAAGAACAACCCACCACAACGTAATACTGTCAAAGAAAAACTCCTATGCACACATAGTTCGATGTACATAACAACATATCGTGAGCGTCAAAACATAGCCAACAGAAGTACCAAATACCTACTTGGTTAGCCTACTCCACATTTTAATTAATTTCATAATTTGAACCGTTCAATTTTTAGGTTCTCATTTCAAGATCATTCCTATATAATTTCATCCAAATCGGGACTCCTCTTAATTATTATCATGAACATTTCATTGTTATTGAAAATGGTGGGTCTGTCTAATTATTTTATCACCATTAGATAATGAAGGCATGTTGTTGAATACTAAAATGCATTGCATATTATTCAAATATGATCATCCAACTCAAAACTAATTTCCACTAAATAAAGAGGCCTAAAATCTTTGAAGCACTATTGCAAAACGTCCATCTTCCAATGTGGAATTCTCAACTAAGTATTGCTCGACATTACTGTTATAAAAAATATAGTTTTCCTCTTTCTATAAAGCCAACTACAAAAATCTTTATATTATAAATTACATATAAAAAAAATTGGAAAGCTTTTAAGGTACAATGAAATTGAAGAAAACAAATTGATAGGTAAGTAAAAGCAAAATAAATAATAAGTAAGAATGTGAGTTTGGTACGTGAAGCACGTCAAAAACACTGTCCTAAAGCCTTTGTAGCCTCCCTACGTGCACGTACTGGCGGTTTATAAGATTCCAAGATACGACCCCTTGTACACAAACTCAAGATCCGCTATGAGAACGTTCATAGACGGATATAGGTATCTAAATCACATAACCGTTGCCCAAAATAATAATATAAATAGAGAATATATATCAAAGTAGAAAAAGAGAGAATCAGATTGTGATATGTGATATTTTGATGGTGTATTGTGGTTGTTCAAATGTGAAGGAGGAGTGGCCTTTTATAGGCATCCAATAACATGTAACTTTCACCTACATTAAATTAGAAAATTAAGTAGAAATAAAACATGAAAATTAAATATTTATAACCCCCACAATAAATAAAATAAAACAGCCAAAAAAATTAAATAAATAAAACGGTTAAATTTTTAAAACCTTTTTTAAAATTCCAACAATTACTTCTTTCCATAGTACTCTCAGATTTTTACTCTCATATCCATAATCACTTATAAGCAGTTTCAGTCACCTAAGAACTTAAAAATAAAAGATAGTGAGCAACTCTTAATAACAGCCATTAATTGGATTTCTTTAAATGAGTTTCTCTAGCCTTTAGCTCTCTCTCTCTGAATGGGTTTCAAAAGTCAATACTATGATTTCATGGTTCGCTACTGTACTCTCCTCCATGCTAGTCCAATCGCTTGTTGTGTCTATCTCTGGTCCATGCTAGTCCAATCGCTTGTTTTATGAAATAGGATGAGGAAGATCTTCTCTACGGGTCAAAATAGGGTTTAAGTAAATAAAAACATGTGCCGTTGTAGTTATAAAGTGATGGTTAAACTCCGCTTTCTTAATTGCGCCAAAGGAGTTGCACTGTTGGGGCATTGGGTATAGGTCCAAAGATGATGTTCATAAAAAAATCCGAAGTTTGAATGTGTGTTAGATGGTATATAGAAATGTGATGGCATGTTGAATTGTGATTTCTCTCAATTCAGAGCTTGGTTCCTAACCAATTTTATATGCTTGAAAAGCTAATTAGTCACTTTGTGTCAAATACAACGACATATTTTGTATACAAGAATTTTGTTAGGGCCACAATAAATCAGTCTGGAACACAAATTGACCAACACATTCAAGTTAGTACAATATCTGTTATATATGGAGTAAGAACACCAGCCAATCACATAATTACATGTGGACAAGACTCAAAGTAGTCAGATGAAAATACCCCTGCACAATGCGGGAATGGGATCCACTCCTCATTGATTAGGGTCACGACGACACCATTTCAAAAGTTTCAACAACTAATATTGACATGGGTTTTAAGACAAGTATTTTTCTTTCTTACACAGATGAAAGATAATGTTAAAGTGCATTTCCCAGACTAGCAATCCTTCATTTCTAGCATTGAACTCAAATTCCATTGGTTTATTCATAAGAGCAATACAGTAAAAGGCAATTCAACGTCTACATTGAAAAAATAAAAACTTGCTTGAATCAGAGAAAAACCATGACGTGCATAAGAACATCATACGTACCAAATAGTTCATGGTAGAAATTCCAGTTACAAATGATGGTACAACTTATTTACTAAACATGGTTTATATTTCAGAGAGACCCTTATCATCACTCAAATACTCGAAAGCTAGTACAAATATAGGAGCAGTCCGTCGTCTCGGGTATCTTCAATTGAAGAGAAGCATGTCGTCTCAAAGGTGTCTGCCTGCGCTAAAGACGAAGGTAAACGACCCATAAGATTGAAAAAGATAAATCACATAAACCATATGAGTCTAATGACGATAAGAAGTGAACAAAATAACGCATGTTACTTTTATATTACAAAAGGAGAGAATCCTTAGTTTTGGAGGGCAATGAAGTCATATGTTGTTTTGATTCTGCAAAATATGCATGCATATCAAGAACAATTAACTCGTATATCATTGAATTTCAAAAATAGTATATGTGGTAAAGATAGAAGTAATTACCATTTATCTATTAAGCATCCTTTGACAGATGATTGCTGCCTTCACGTGCAGCCAATCGTTCAAAAATGTCAAGAAATTGAAGTATGTGTATCTGCATGACTTGTTGAGAAGAAGAGTGCCACAAACTCCCCAAAATCCAACAGCAAACCCAAGTCCCATGCTGATGTAATGACCTTGCGTTATGAGCACACCCTGGCTGTCTTGGTTCACCAACACAGATTGTCTTGGACCTTTTTCCTCCTCAGGGCATGTCCTTGGGAGTGGTGCTCCGCAAAGCAGACGATTTCCATCATAAGCATAGTCAAAGCTTTGGAGTTGAGTGCCTATTGGAATTTTTCCAAACAAGTTGTTTTCTGACAAGTTCAACTTACCAAGACTAGCTATCCAAGAAAGACTTGTTGGAATTTTGCCATTTATCTGGTTTTTTGATAAATCAAGAGATTCTAACTCCTGCAAATTTCCAATCCTTGAAGGTATTTGACCTATTAATTGGTTTCTCGACAGATTTAAAGAAATCAAACCAACAAGATAAGTGATTTCACTAGGAATCTCCCCAATCAACTTATTGCTTGAAAAATCAATACTCTTTAGGAGTCCTAGATTACTTTTAAATTTAGCTCTGAATCCTTTCCATGTTAAAAATGCCTCATCATCATAACGCTCTTGAAGTCTTTGTCGTAGATATTGACCTAAAAAGGAATGTTGGATAGCTTGATTTGAACTTCCTTTTTTAGTCAAAGTAGTCAAATTGTTGAGACATTTGGGTATAGTTCCAGAGATGTTGTTCATCGACAAATCCAAAAGTTGAATACGAGTGAGATGGCATAATTGTGGTGGGATGCTTCCATAGAAGTTATTAGATTGAAGGATAAGGATAGTCAAATTTGGGAGACTTGCCCCTAACCATTCAGGTATTGATCCTGATAATTTATTTTCCGCAAGATTAAAAAGTGTCAAGCTTCTACAATTCTTCAACTGTGAAGGCAACTCTCCCACAAATCCATTGTTATTTAGTCTCAGTGTCTCGATGCTAAACAAGTACCCTGATAAGCCCATATTTTATATATATTTTATGCCTCCTTTACTTATCTATTTGTTAATTTCCTTGGATTAAATTGGTTGTTTTAATTGGTTTTGTGAGATTTGTGAAGGAATTGTAAAATATGAGAAAGTGTGCTAAAAAGGGGCAAGAAGATGAAGATTGGAGATTAATCAAGTCAAGAAGCCAAGCCATTCCTTTTGTCGCAAGGAATGTTGTCAAATTTCCTAATTCAAGACGATTCAAGTTTTATCAAGTCAAACAAGGAGAAATAAAGAAGACCTTATATTAGAAGGAATCCTACTTTTATAATAATTGTAATTATACCTTAGATAGGTAGGATTTGTAGAAGTATTATAAATAGGGAGTTTAGGTCATTGTTCAAGGGGGAATTACCGATCGATCATCCTCCATCCTCCATCATCCTACATATTCATAGCCGAAATATCCAAAGGGGAATACGAAGAAAGCTTGTGCAACCTTGGCGTTCTACTTGGAGAATTCGGTGCCTTCCATGTCTTCATCAACCATCAAGATTCTCAATAAGTCCTTCATGAACTAATTCCCTTTACTAGGGCTACGATGTAGCCTAGCTATGAATACTCAAATTCTTTGATATTGTTAATTTTATTTATCTATACATGTTGAGTGCTTGTTACCGTTCTTAATGCTTTCAATTAATTGGCCACTAATTGCATGATTGGAAGAATTAGGTTGAAACCGGAAGGAGGTTCCTAGTAAATAGCTTCTTGTAACAAGTACCATAAATTACATAGCCGACTCGGAAGATTAGGTTATGGTTTGTGTAATCTTTATTGTTTTCCACAAATCTTAATGGGTTCTAAACTATCTAAATCCATAACTAGGAATAGAGTGGGTTGACTGTAAGGAATACAACTAATATAACTCGGAAGAGAGTATTGGTGAGGTAAGGGAAAACGATTATCAACATGTTAGGTAATTAGAATTAGCAAGCTAGAAGGATTTGGGTGGGATTAGCTAGGTGAAATCGGTGCCCTAGTGCTTTATCATCTTTGTTTTCATCTTTTACATTATTTCCTTAATCTCAATTTATTTTGCTTGCTTAATTAGATTTTAATCATCATAATTCTCTTTTCGTTTAATTCAAATATAATTAGATATAAATCACTCTAATATTTAATAGATTACTTGATCCCTGTTGGAACGATACTCTACTTACTACTATATTAATTTGAGCGATATTGTCCACTTGCAATTAATCACATCATACCCCATGGTGGTCGGAATTTTTCCAGATAAAGAGTTATTGCTCAAATCAAGAAAGACTAATTTTTTAAAATGGATCCAACAATCCGGAAGTTCTCCGAATATATGGTTACTGGAGATATCAAGAAAACTTAAATTACTATCCTTGGTTGTGCACAAAAAAGAAGCTGCTGCCACTGAAAATTTATTATTGGAGAGATCTAAAAAAGTAACTTCTGATAGAGTTGAAGGGATTGGACCCTCCAATTGGTTCCAACTCACATTTAGCTTAGGTGGGAACTCCGATCTCAAATTTCCAATTGTTCCTCTAATTTGATTCTGAGAGAGATCCATAAAGTATAATCCATGTGAAAAATCCCAAAGCCAACTGGGAATGGTATCAGTAATTCCATTATCATAAATATCAAGAGATGAAACACTTTTTTGAGTTTGAAGCCATTTTGGGAAAGACGGCCCCATCTTACAAGACCTCAATGTTATCGTATCCAACTGGAAAGGAGGAACCCAATCAAAACGGAAGTTTAAAACTAGTGAGCTGGAGGATAAATCCAAATAATATAATCGGAAGAGTTTCGAGAAATGGATTTCTGAAATTACTCCTTCCAAAGAATTCCCACCAAAATCAATAGCCTCCAACTTGGACATCTGTCCAATATTTTCAGGCACTGAACCCATGATGCCATGATTATCAGAGATATCCAAATACTCTAATGTGTTTTGAGCGCATTTAGACAATATGTCAATAATGTCTGAAAGTTGTCCGCTAAGGCTATTATTCCCAAGGTACAACACTCGCAACCTACATAACTTGGCAAACGAATTTGGGATCCCTCCTTTAAGTCTGCTACCAGAGAGATAAAGAGATGCAAGAGAGCTCATGTTTCCGAAATCATCAGGAATTGATGAACCATTTAAATTGTTCCAGGATAGATCAAGCTCAACAAGGTTGGTATGAGTACCGGACAGCCATTGAAAGATTGAAGAGTCAAGATTGTTGTCGTAGAGATCGACACGAACAAGAGATTTAGATGAGTTCATAACAGAAACAGAGGACATAATTGGAGGAGGAAGATTACACCCTGATAGTATCAAGTTTGATAGTTTAGGAAGCATATTAATTGCTTCCAGCCAACCAACAACACCGGTGAAATTGTTCCCAGAGAGATCAAGATAAACAAGGTTGGTATGAGTACTGGACAGCCATTGAAAGATTGAAGAGTTAAGATTGTTGTAGGAGAGATCGACATGAACAAGAGATTTAGAAGAGTTCATAACAGAAACAGAGGATATAATTGGAGGAGGAAGATTACATCCCCGTAATATCAAGTTTGATAGTTTAGGAAGCATATTAATTGCTTCCAGCCAACCAACAACACCGGTGAAATTGTTCCTAGAGAGATCAAGATGAACAAGGTTGGTATGAGTACCGGACTGTTGAGAATTAATGACTAACTCACTGCCCTTTTAAGATCTTGTTGTTGATGGACTTTGGACAAAGAACTCAATGATGGATGAGTCTTACACACACACACAGAAATTAACCAAGCACAAATGACACAAGTGTTTATAGAGGTTCAGCAAATTGCCTACATCCTCTTTGGTGATCACCTTGAGAAATTTCACTAATGAAGATAGGTTACAACTTTGGTTTACAAAGGAAACCCCCTTAGAACACTACCCTCACAATCTGTTTCTCTCACACCCTTGCTCAACACCTTGATACACTTAGAGAACTCTCTTGCTCTCACCTTGGTTTTTCTGAACAAAGCTCTCTAAAGAAACTCTAACTTGTTTCCAGCTTTTGCCACTACATTTGTTCAACATTCTTTCTCCCTTGTGTTATCTTACTTCATCCCATTACCTACACAAGCCAATGGACAAGAGATAGGATATCTGATTGTCCTCCACGTTCTTTCCTTTTAGTCACCACTTAGACTAAGGGTCAGATTAGGTAGGTAATACAATCCCACTCAGCCACCTCCATTAAACCAGAAAATGGAGAGGAGATTAATCAAAATAGGATAACCAATTAGCCATGAGTGCTCTCCCAACTATCCAGCAGGTAGTCAACCCTCTTTTACCTCAGAAGTGATCCATTAAGCACCTGCAAACTCGTGGAAAGCGATAGCCATTGAAAAGACAGTTGAAAATACGTAAGCAAAGCATCACAGCACGACTGGAGCGACCGGTCGTCAGGAATGGGCGACCGGTCGCCAGAATTTTTTCCCTCCAGACTTTGAATCTGCTTCTAAGCGACCGGTCGCAAATGTCCAGCGACCGGTCGCTCGTGTGCCTGCGACCGGTCGCAAAGAACTAGCGACCGGTCGCTCTTCAGTTTTGCTTCCAGACTTCGAATCTGCTTCAAAACGACCGGTCGCAAATGTCCAGCGACCGGTCGCTTTTAGGCAGATTCAAAATCATCCTTTGAGCGCCAAAAAACTTTGTATCCTTTTAGGTGAGCCATTTTTTCCAACACGGACAACAATTGGAAGATTGAAGAGTTAAGATTGTTGAAGGAGAGATCGACATGAACAAGAGATTTAGAAGAATTCATAACAGAAACAGAGGATATAATTGGAGGAGGAAGTTCACAGTCCCATAATATCAAGTTTGTTAGTTTAGGAAGCATATTAACTGCTTCCAGCCAACCAACAACACTGGTGAAATTGTTCCAGGATAGATCAAGCTCAACAAGGTTGGTATGAGTACCGGACAGCCATTGAAAGATTGAAGAGTTAAGATTGTTGTTGGAGAGATCGACACGAACAAGAGATTTAGAAGAGTTCATAACAGAAACAGAGGACATAATTGGAGGAGGAAGATTACACTCTTGTAGTATCAAGTTTCTTAGTTTAGGAAGCATATTAACTGAGATTAGTGGAACTTAGGTCCAAGTGTTTCAGACCTGAAAGATTAGGGAGCCAATTGAGGTTTTTTGCATAAATAGAGTCATCAAACCACCCGTATTCATCCGAGCTGAGATCGAGATATTCCAAGCGTGTCAGGTTTTCAAGTTGATATGGAATTTCACCTCCAAATTTTGCATTAGAGAGATTGAGGTATCTTAAATTGCTAAAAGATCCAATGAAATCTGGAATTTGGCTACCACGGAAATTATTCAAACTAAGATTCAAATACTCCAAATCCTGCAACTCAACAAGTTTTGGACTAATCGTACCTTCCAAAGATTGGTCTCCAAGATCAAGCTTAACAACATGGCCAGTGTGGTTGCTGCAGTAGACTCCGTCCCATTGGCAACAGTCTTTGTTTTGCACTTCTCTTCCCCATGAAAGGAGGCTATTGTCGTCATCCACGAGGCCTTGTTTGAATGCAAGGAGGGCTTGCATCTCCCTCTCACTGCATCCAATGCAAGGATTGTTCATGCGTAGTAAAAGCACCACAAGAAATGCATAGAAGACTTTGAAGCAGTATATTTGCTTCTCATGATCAATGTTTGTTAGAGTCATGATCAAGACGCAGAAGCACAACTATTTAAGGAAATCTGGTGAAGTATATTTGCTTGTCTGATATCTCAAGATACAAGCATTAATTATTTATAGTGGTTACCATAGCCTAAACTCATGAATGACAAAGTGGGATTCTTTAATTCTTGAGATATTTAGTCAGATACCCATTTTTAGCAACAACTTAAATTGGGGCCTTACATAATCTAATATGAAAATACTATAAGTCAAAATTTGCTATAACTTAATGTTATAAACAATTTTTTTATAACTAAAAGTCACCATCAATAAATATGTAATGACAATCAGAAATTAAATTCATAAAAATTTAAAATTTTCCATTTTAATAAAGTTAAATATATTGTCATCCCAAAATAAAAGACAGAAGAAACTTAATGAAGTCATCTTAAACATAATAACCACAAACCCAACTTATTAAGGGTTAAACATTTCAGGGCTTGGAAAAAAATCCATTCTAATCCAAATTACTAAAGCCTGGAGGCCGCACTGTTTGAAAGCTGCTTCCGCAGCCTTCTGCTCTTTTTCTTGTTTTTGCTTGTTCTTTTGGAGTTTTTATCAAAAAATAGCCAAAATTTAAGCCCCAAATTCATAAATGTCAGTTTTTTTAAAAACTTTCAAATATAGCTAAAAACTCATTTAAATTGAATGCCCTCTAAATTATAACTCAATTACACCTAAAAGCTAAAACCCAAAATAGCACAGGAGCACAAAAACAAAATTGGCTTCGTCAACTTAATCATGCCTATGAGAACCTCCGACGACGGCGTGTCGATGTGGAGGCTGACTGTCCACTGTGCGGTGATAATGGTGAAACTGAGGTCCACTTGTTTTTTCGTTGTGAAATAGCCAGACTATTTTGTTTTGCGACCCCTTTACAATTAGATGTGCTTGGTGTAGAAGGAGAAGATTTCCTGAGTTGTTGGGAATGTTTGCTCCAGAAGTTTGCTCAGGTTGATCAGATGGATGAGATCCTTCAAATTGTGGCTTTTGGATTGTGGAGAATCTGGAAAGGGAGGAATGCGGTAGTGTTTGAAAGACAGACCTTGGACCCCATAGATTGGGTGAGGTGTTTGCGCATGCAGACTAATGAATATCGGGGGGCTCACTCGGCAACCATGGCGCTTAGGAGTGAACTGGTAAGACCACCAGACGTAACCTGTCCCCCTAGGAGAACTTGGCAGAAGCCCCTCCCCGGATCTGTTAAAGCTAATTGTGATGGGGCTTGGGTGGCACATGTTGGAAAAAATGGCTCACCTAAAAGGATACAAAGTTTTTTTGGCGCTCAAAGGATGATTTTGAATCTGCCTAAAAGCGACCGGTCGCTGGACATTTGCGACCGGTCGTTTTGAAGCGGATTCGAAGTCTGGAAGCAAAACTGAAGAGCGACCGGTCGCTAGTTCTTTGCGACCGGTCGCAGGCACACGAGCGACCGGTCGCTGGACATTTGCGACCGGTCGCTTAGAAGCAGATTCAAAGTCTGGAGGGAAAACTTCTGGCGACCGGTCGCCCATTCCTGACGACCGGTCGCTCCAGTCGTGCTGTGATGCTTTGCTTACGTATTTTCAACTGTCTTTTCAATGGCTATCGCTTTCCACGAGTTTGCAGGTGCTTAATGGATCACTTCTGAGGTAAAAGAGGGTTGACTACCTGCTGGATAGTTGGGAGAGCACTCATGGCTAATTGGTTATCCTATTTTGATTAATCTCCTCTCCATTTTCTGGTTTAATGGAGGTG